TGGTCTCTGGCGCTTGCCTCTTGGTCGCACCTGCAGCAGCAGGATGGAGCCAGTGGGCAGGGTGGTAAGTAACTGCTGCCCCGACCTGGCTGGTACAGTAGATCAGTAGCTGCAGGAACACAGCTGGTAGGGAAATGTGCTAAAGTGCTTAGGAAATGACAAGTTTGAGGATAACCTTCTGTTGAAGAGACAAAACTTTAAAAAATATTTTTTAGAGCAGTTTTAGTTTCCCAGCAAAACTGAACAGAAAGTATGGAGTTCCCTCAGACTCCTCTCCTAAACACACCTCTGTGTGTATACAACCGCCTTCCCCGTCCTCAGCACCCCAGACCACAATGGTGACTTTGTTGAGCGAACCTGTGCTAACGCTACTATTCTCACCCAGAGACCTTGGTTGATGTCAGATTCACTCCTGGTCTGGTACCACCATTGTAGTATGGCACGGAGAAGATTCATGGTCTGTTCACACGGAATTGGTTCACGCGAGTCCTTCTACTACACCTTCATCCCTCCGTTCTCTCAGCCCCAGCAACCATTGGTCGTTCTCCTGCCGTTATAGTTTTGCCTTTTTCCAAGATGTCATACAGCTGGAATCAGGCAGTCTGTAGCCTGTTCAGACTGGATTCTTTCCTTCAGTAATTTGCATTTAAGCTCTGTATATATGATAAAATATATGAAACATAAAATTTACTATTTTAACCATTTTTAAGTGTACAGTGGCATTTAGTGTATTCACCACCATCTATTCCAGAATGTTTTTATTTAAAGTGAAGCTATATATCCTTTAAACAGTAAAACTCTATACACATGATAGAATAACATCCTCCCCGCCTCCGTGGCATCTTATGCTTTCTGTCACCATGATTTTTCCTTCTCTAGGTGCTTCATCTCAGTGGACTCATACAGCCTGTGTCCTGGTGTTGAGCTCCTTTCACGAAGCATAATGTCTTCCTAATTTATCCACATTGTAGCACGTGTCAGAATGCCATTTCTTTTTAAGACTGAATTATATTCTGCTGCATGGATAGAGCACAGCTCATTTACCTACCTGCCTACCTGGACGTTAGAATTGTTTCCACTTTGGGCCTGTTGATAGTAATTCGGAAAGGACATGGGAGCCATAGTGTCAGTTGAGGCCCTGCTTTCATGCTTTAGGGTACGTAAAGTGGAGTGGAATTGTGGGACCATGTGGCATTTGTACATTTCACTTTTTGAAGAACTACTGGGCTGTTCTACATAGGCCACACCATTCCACATTCCTGCCAGTCCTGGCCAGGGTTCTGGTTGTTATTTTCCATTTTTAAAAAAGTAATAGTCATCCTTACAGGCACGAAGTGTATCACTTTTGTTTTTAATATAGTGTATTTAATTGTGAATTTATGTACGTTAACTTTAATAATGGCTGTGTTTAACAACAGGAAACAAGAAATTGATACACATTACATAATTCTTTCACAAGTATATCTTCCAGTACTAAAGAGAGAGAGGGAGAGGGAGGAGAGAGAGGGAGGGAGGGAGGAAGGGAGGGAGGGAGAGAGGGAATGTGCACATGCGCAAGGATATAGTGTTTTTGTTTTTTTTTTAAACACTGTTTACTCTAGAAGACAGAAACTGAGTTGAATAAACATTTTCAGGATGAGAGCAGGTACTCGTGGCCTCTGGGATGGCCTCTTAGAGCTACCTGCAGACCAGCAGAGCCTCTCATCTGTAGTGAGGCCTCTGATAGTTGCTGCACTGTCTCCCCGGGCTTCTCAGCTTTTCGCTTTCTCCTTTGGGACTTGGTGATACGAGGCTGGGCTCTAGAGGAAAAGCCATTTCTAGAGGGAGTAAGTGTTGCCTCCAACGTAGACATCTCCAAGGAGAGGAGTTTGACCCTGAGGGAACTGCTCAGCCAAGATGCAGCCCACTCTTGTCATCTTGGCGTCTGCTTAGATGTGCTGTGGTGCTTGGATGGTCTCCATTCTAGGTGCCTGGGATATGGGTGGGAGGGTCTTACGAACAACCCTGCAGCAGACATGTGCAATGGTGACCAAATCTGGCCCTGTATGGATTGCCTGCTGGTCATTGTGAGAGTAGCAGAAAAGATGAGTAGCAGAAAAGATGGCAGTGTGTGTGTGTGTGTGTGTGTGTGTGTGATGCTATGTGGCATGTGTATGAGGGAAGGGGGCTGCTGCCACTCTGAAATCCCAATGCCGTTTGCATCCCACAGCCTGGGGACCTGTTGCCGTGCCAGACCTGCTTGTGGCTAGAGTCCCTGCAGCTAACATCAGAGCTTCCTTCGCATTCTTGTTTGGCAGGTTTATTTTTGTAAGTACTTTATTAGTTGTTTTGAGCTCAGAATTGCAGAAATCCAAGGAATCTACCCTTTGACTTAGCATCTGGCTGGAGCAAGCAATAAACAGCTGATGGGACACCAAATTGTGGAGAAATCAGTGTGACCAATCTCGATCTGTGCCCCGCCACAGTGATCACTGAGACCTGATGCGCCAGGCTTGGCGTTCATTCATCCTTTGCTCCTCAAAGTCACTACTCAGTCACTTCCCAAGCCCGAAGCCCTCTTAACTTTATCTTAGCTCAGATTTTATAATTCATGTTTTAAAGACAATGGCTCTGCCACCTCCTTGCAAGCACAGGGACCAGAGTTCGATCCCCAGTACCAAAAATAAATAAATAAAGACAGGTCATAAAGCGTCACGGTGGAGTCGGTGCTGTGTTCCCTTTCGACCCTGTAGCGGAGACTCCTGTGCTCCTCCTGCCTGCGGTGATCACCATACGCTGCCTCTTTCCACTGGAGTGGTGGGGCTGTGGCTCTGGTAGAAGCATGTGGTTTCCTTTACCTTCTCATGATCACACCCAGAAAAGAAGGAACTTTAGTCCCAACAGCCTCCTTTGTTTTCCACCTGAAAACAAAGCCTCTGTATCATTATTTTTAAGAGGAACTTACAGTCTCAAGAGCCTAATATTTTTGTTTGTTTGTTTCTTTGAGACACGCTCTCACTATGTAGTTGAGACTGACCTCGAACTCACTATGTAGCTCAGGCTGGTCTCGAACTCACAGCGGTCCTCCTGCCTCAGCCTCCCGAGTGCTGGGATTACAGGCATGCGCCACCACGCCTGGCTAAAAGCCTAATATTTGAGAGACTTTCAAGTCTGTTAACTCAGTTCCCTTCCCCTGCCAGGTACCTGGAGCCAAGGGTGGCCTGCAGTTGCCGTTGGCCCCTGCCTGTGTGGAGCCTCCTGCTGCCAGGGTATCGACACTCACCCTCCAGACGATGTGTTTAGCTGAAATTCCAAAGGCAAAACCAGTCACCCTCTTCCTGTTGTCTTTAGGAGTTTTGCCTGATGGCTCTGAGTAGTAAAAAAGCAGGGCAAACCAGTTGTGAGGCAGCATTACCTTCAGATGTTGTCATGTGGGAGGCCTTGTGATGATGGCCTTGACCCTGAGGTGTCTGTGGTCTGTCTGGGGGCAGCTGCAGCTGATGGCTGTGTGGCTCTAAACTGTCTGCGTTGGCCCCCCCCACCCTTTGTCCTACCTGGGTCTGCAGGGTTTCCTGCAGTCCTTGGTCCTCCCACACATGTTGAGGAGGCTGGAGTAGTGGTCCTGTCTCCAGGTCTGGCTCTGTCCCTGGGTATGGATTTTCCTTTTACAGAGGGGGCAGTTCTAGCCAGCGGAAATCTCTACCCACAGACCAAGGCTCTCTCCAAGCCCCCAGGGTTTCGGAGAGAGCCAGCTCACTGAAGCGTTAGGGAGTTCTTGAGGTGCGCGCAGATGGGGCTGGCGCAGAACTCCTTTGTACCTGGTTGGAGTGTCTGCGGGTGTACACCCCCGTTCTCAGGCCCTGGGGTGAGGCAGTGAACAGGCTATTAGGTTGCCTTGTGACCTTGGGATGGCCACTCATGGGGGAGCGGGGGAGTTGTCACACAGTTCCCTGCATTCTATTGTCGCTGCTCCTAGGCAGAGGCAGCTGCCGCTTGGCTCATGGAGCAGGACTGCAGGGTTGGCTAGCCGGTCTGGTGTGTTTGTGCAGCGTTCCTTTGGGGGTGGGGCCTCTGCCCGATTCTCTGCCCTCCCTGGGGCCAAGCTAGGGAGGAGTGCTGCAGTCAGGACCATTGGGTGGGAACAGATAGGATTTAATGGGTACTTTATGGATGGACAGAGATTCCCTGGAATTCTTATTTGGTGGGGGAGATGAAGTATGGGTGTAATAATAGTGTCAGTCTCAATTAGAACATTTTAGCCTCTTTTCAGTTTGTGTCACCCAGCGTGTCCCCTGTTTGGGTCCAGCAGGTGGATTCCCAAGGCGCAGATGAGGTATTTGCCAGCCCAGGAGCACCACAGGGTGTGCAGGAGAGCCATGGGGTGGGGGTCCCCAAAGCATTTGTTCAGTCCTGCGGTCACGTCCAGGGTGAGGTTAAGAAGGGCTCTGCCCACTCTGCTCTACTGGGATGGTTGGGGTGATGATGCTCTATTTCTCGCTATAGCCAGGTACTCACCTGAAATCGGTGTTGTTTTCTTCACTGGCTGTTGACCAAGTCTTTCAGATCTCTGTAGGCACACGGAGAGGCAGGAACTCAGACATGTTACTGTTGCCTGGCCAATTGTGGCCTTAGCTTCATTTAATCCTCACAAGGGTGGTACAATTTTCCTTTTACCAATGAGGAAACTGAGGCTCCAAATGCTTTGTCGACTCCTGTGAGCACACAGCTGAGATTGAGCTGGTTCTTCTGAGGACTGAAAGTGTGTCCCACTTCCTCCCTCCTGGGTTGAGTCATTAAGAGCCCCACCAGAGTTCCCTAAGTGTCAGGAGGTGGGGCAGGGGTTGAGGCAGAAGCAGCTGTGGCAGTCAGCACCTTCCACGCTGAGCATCAGGACCTCATCTTGCTCAGAGCCAGGACCTGGGGTCATTCCTGCGTTTGGGTTCCCTCACGGCCCTGGGTGCATGTTTGCATGAGGTTGTCTGAGTTTGGGTTTCAGATTTATTCTTGAATTTTTATTTCAGGACATAACTTGGCAAGATGAACACTCTGCCCCTTTCTCCTGGGAAACAAGGGTAAGTTGGATTAAATTGAGATGTATTTGTCCTTTTACAAGAATCAAGTAGCTCTACATTTTCTTTTGGCATTTGCTCTGCTCAGGAGGCTGTGGCCCCACTGGTGCCTTATCCAAGGGAAGAGGGCTGTGGGGAGTTAGGAGACCCAGTGTAGTTGATAGGAAGTCAGGTTGATGCTGCCAGCCAGACCCAGTGATGCCCCAGGTCTCTGATGTGGCTCCAGCACCCAGCCAGCCTGGGCTCAGGGCCAGACCTGGGAGCTTCTGTCAGCCTGTGCCCCTGCCCACCAGCAGTGGGACCACAGTGGCCCTGCCCTGAGTGGAGTGAGAGTATCATACCCAGCTAGCTTCAAGGAATTCCCTGGTCTCTTGCTGTCCCTGAGATGTGTGTTCACGAGCAGGACAGTGACTAAAGCAAGAAAAGAACAGAAAGGCCAGAGTTTTCGGAGTTCTAGGACATTCAGTGCTGTGTGTGGGTGGGTATATTCCCAGAATAGGGTTTGGATTGAGGTCGAACAGGATTCAAGTGCTGATGGTTTAAGGACCTAATTTCCTGGGCTTTCACTTGTCCCTGCAGTTTCTGATCGGAGCCACTGTCCCAGCACACAGGGGCATCCAGGAGCCCCACGGATGTCTCCAAGGACCCCAGATGCCTCGTATACTTTAGGAGCTATGTCCTGAAATGTCCCACCAGGGTTCAGGTGGATGGGACAGCCACTGGCCCTGCGCCCACAGATAGCATTTGGTACACAAGTACTGATCCGAGGGGGCAGCGAGCTGGTCCTGCATGTGGACACCTGGGGCAGTCAAGATTATTCTCATGTGAGAGATGTTGGGGATACACAGATGTGTTCTGCCTCTGTCACACCATTACACTGGGTACGAGCATCTGTGTCTAGCGTATCTCTTTTAAATTATCTGGTGGAGATTAGCCGGCACCCAGGTGTGTGCCGAGGGCAGGTGAGGGGGAACAGGCCTGCAGGAGCTGAGTGTCCCCAGGTCCTGGACCAGGGAGATGGTGACAGGGCTGGGCTGGGGTGGCATGGGGTGTCAGGAGCGAAGTGACAGGTGGCAAACCCACAGCAGCCTGTCTGCCAGGTCACGTCAAGTGAGGGGTGGCCGCACACACTTCCCCGACGTCCAGCTGGGTCCCCTGTCCTCATCTTCTGTGGCTGCCAGGTAGCCAGTGTGTGAGCAGAGACCTACAGAGGGTGTCTGTGGAGGAGGGAGGGAGGTGTCTCCCTGTTGGGAGTGAGCAGCCTCGGTGCACATGTGCTCCCTGGGCCAGGTCCTCCTGGATGATGCCAAGGGGAAGGCGGGGGAGTCACAGCAGTGCAAATGCTGGGAAGGGCAGCCTATGGCCTGCGTCATGCGAGTATCTGCTCTGCTCCCTTAACCGTCTCCCTCCCTAGGCCACCGTGGACAGGACATGTGTATGTTCATAACCTAGTGCAAGTGATGTCCTGAGGCCTGGTGGGGCTGCCCTCGGAGTGGCACGTCTCTGGCCCAGGCACATCTCTGGGATGGGGAGTGGCAGTGTCTGCAGCGAGGAGAGTGATGATCCACTCAGTCAGGTGACACCTTGCTGGTGCCAACCAGCCATAGCTCCCTGAAATGAGGCTGATGCGAGCTCCTCATGTGACTTGGGCCCTTTAGCAGAAATCGAGGCTGTTAGATCCCCCAGTGAAAGTACTTCTCTTTTCTTCCCTTCCTTCGTTCCTCCCTCCCTCCCTCCCTTCTCCCTGTTTCTCTCTCCCTCCCTCCCTCTCTCTCTCTCTCTCTCTTTCTCTCTTTCTTTCTGTCTCTTTCCTCAATATCTACATCTCTAGTCCTTTCATTTTGAGACAGAATCTCACTAAATTACCTACTCAGGACTTGACCTTGCACTCCTGCCTCAGCCTCCCTCATACTGCGATTACAGATATGTGTCACCATGTCCCGTTTGAAAGCGCCTACTTCTTTCTCAGGCTGTGGGTCTCCCTGTCTGCACCTTTCCACATGATCTCTCAAGGTGGAGTTCAGGGTTGGAGCCCCTGGAGCTGACAGTGAGGGTGCTTGAGAGAGGAGAGGCGTGCTTTCTTCCTCCCTTAGGGTTGGGTTTTAAAGAGCTTGGCCCTCCTCAGTCATACCCCTGCACATCCAGATGTTGGTCACACTCTTCTAAGGACTTAAAGATGTCTAAGAACATCTCTGAGAGCCGCACACAGGAGGCATTAGGAGGCCTGGCCTTGGTCGCCCTATTTGGACTGCAGGCTAGACCCCGTTTCTGATTGTCCTGTGGAGGATCCTTCCTCTCTTGGTCACATGCTTCCCATGGCCGAGTCGCTCTGAGCAGCGTTTACACTGGGATCTGCGGTCAGAGCAGGGCTCAGCAGGGCTGTTCTCTTGGTGTCCCTGCCTGCAATCATTCACACCCACACCCACCTCTCACGTGCCTGGGCTGCATCCCCAGCTGGCCGTGACTCCAGCTAGCCAGCGTGGCTTCGGCTCACAGACGCCTGCAACATTGCTTTGTCTGGCTGGTCCAGGCAAGGCAGAGCAGCCGCAGCCTCGGGGTGAGGGCCGCAGTATGTGGCTGTGATTAAGTGTAAGCCACGTCCCTCCGGGTGTTGCTAATCTTGGGTCTTCCCCCACCGCTGTTTATCATTATTAATGTTTAAATATTTTATTAACTGTGATAAAGTGCTACTATAAATAATAAAATTACCATGTTCATCCTTTTAGTTTTCCTTCTTTTTTTTTTTCTGGTGCTGGGGATCAAACTCAGGATCTTGTGCTTGCAAGGCAGGTGCAGTGCCACTGAGCTGAATCCCCGGCCTTTAGTCCTTTCTTTTCCTTTTCCCTTTACCCCTTTCTTCTGTCTCTTTCTCTCCTTCCCCTCCTTCCCTCCCTCCCCCGCCCCCTCTCTTTTTGATTCTCAGCATTGAATCCTGGGGCCTCACCCGAGCTAAGCTCACCTCTTCCACTGAGCCGCAACCCCAGCTCATTAGCTATGGTTAAGCGCAGAGTACAACAGCATTTACATATTATCTTCACATTGTTGTACAACCATCATCACTGTCCATCTTCAGAACTCTTTTTTTCTTGTTATAGAATTGCATGTATTTATAGAGTACAGAGAGATTTAAAAATCTGTATACATTGTGGAATGATTAAATCAAACATATCCAGAGCTCTTTCCATCTAGTAGAATGGACCTCTGTTCGCACTGAACATCGACTCCCCAGCCCTGACAGCCACTGTGCAGGGGAGGTGGGAGGGAGGCCTGCCTGTCCCACAGGGGTGGTCACAGTTGTCATCTTTTCCACTCATCTGTCAGCTTGGCAGACATGTGCCCTTGGGTCCCACTGCATTCCTCTCTCCTGCTGTTGATTCAGAGGAAAAATCCTAGCACTCAGAATGCTCCAGACAGGAGAGGCAGGAGAGAAGATTCGTTGCATTCCCCTGGAGGTCTGCAGAATGCCTGTGGAGGAAGGTTAGGCAGGGCAGGCAGAGCCCTGAGCACTCATCGGCTCGCTCCCCAGCTGTGTGGCTTCTTTCTGTCCGCTCCATTCTTTCACTTGATGTTCAGCTACTCCTGGGGGTCCGTGTGACTGTGGAGAAATGCTGGAGATGGAGACGTGGAGTGGCTTTTCTTTGTCCCTGTGGGTGACAAGGCCGGAGGTAGGTCCTGAGGGATCCCTCTGTACTGCTCCTTACAGGTCTTGGCCTGGACGCCCTGCTCAGGTTCCCCAGGACCCCAACTGCCAGCATCTTTACCATCTCTGCTCCCCTGGGCTCCCTGCCAGGTTTTGGGAGTAGACACGCAGGTGTATTAGGCAGTGCTCGGTTGCTGCCCCAGCCCTGGAACTGCCCGTCACCGCCCAGTGTGTTCATGCCCTGATAGTCACTTTTCCCCACCTGACTGCCACTTCTCTCATTTTGTGGTCCTGGGAGTTTTTCATATTCCTGCTCCTCTTCCTGCTATTCTTTGGCGTGGAGGAGAGAAGGATATACATTGCGCGCATGGCAAGTTCATTAGGCTCTGTCCAGCACACTTCAGTGCTTTCCAGTGATGCTCCTGTAGTCTTTGTCCCAACAGTTTAGATCTGCCGAGGCTGCCAAGCCAAGCAGTTGGTTTTGGCAGCAGTAACTGCCCCTTTACTGAAATGTTACACATTCCTCTCCAGTGAGTAGGACACAAAAATAGATGCTGGGCTCTGTTGTGGTGTTGCTGTTTTTAGAATGGATGTGGCCAGTCGAGACCTGGCTCCCATATGGGCTGACTAACGCCCAGCCTGGCTAGACTGAGTCCTCCCAGGCAGACCCTCTGGGTTCAGTGAGCCCTCGGGTTGAGTGACCTGGATGACGGAGGAGGGGCCAAGTGTGGAGACCAGAAGCATAAAGCAGTAGAACTTGCTTTGAAATGGCAGACAGGCCTGACACTGCTCCGTGCAACCTACACAACTGTACTGTCCTATGCTGTGTGCATAGATGACAGTGGGTGGCCCTGCAGGATTCAGGAAGATGGTGGCTCTCTGTTCTTGCCTACCTTGATAGGGTCCATTCTTTTTTTTTTTAAGAGTAGGAAAAATTTATTGAGAGAAAGAAAGCTTCTAAGAGGCAGAAGGGGGAACCAAAAGTGGGTTGCCCACTCCCCCCACTTTTCAAAGGTGTTTTATACAGCAAAGCCATGTGGTGAGGTGGGTACAAAGTGGAACAAAACTATAAGGCCCAGTGGAAATTTACAAGGTGGGACAAAACCACAACTAACCAATAAGATTACAAGTGCAGTCACCCAGGTAATATTTTTTTTTCCATTAAGTTTATTGGCACATTGAAGGTAAACAATACAGTTGCATTCATCATTGGGATCTTGTAACCAGGTAATATTGATTAAATTGGGATCAAATGGGAAAACAAATCACATACAAGGGATTTCCCATTTAGAATATCAATCACTGCAATCTTTAGGGGAAGTGGTGCCTCTTCTTTTTATAATGCTAACCAGTGAATGTACCTCATTTGTTCTCCATGTTGGCTTCTTGGGGGCTGGCACCTTGAGGCTGGCACCTCGATGGCGGCCCTGTCTAATTGCCTACAAGATACCTAATTAACTTACCTGTCTACAGTATCCCCCCTCTGAAGAAGTATCCCTAACTGCCATGAGGGGGCAAGTGGTGAAGACATTCTGGCTAATTCCAGCTGAAGAGGGTGCTAGTTGTGACCAACAGTCAGAGTTACTCTGCAGAACATCTATCTAAAGGCCCTCCATAGGCTCCAGGCATTGTCCTCTTGGGTAACCTAATAGCTTTATGTCTGGAGGAGACAAAGCCAAAGAAACAGTTAAGAATACATGGGCTAAATAATGTCACCTGGCTTGTTATGTTTACACCAGGAAGAACTAGTAATAGCTTTCCACAAAGAGAGCAAACAGAAGGTCCAGAGGACTTTAGAATCCAACATAGAAGTCGTATTGTAGTCTAGCAGTTAAGAACTTTTTACAAGGTCAACGTGATGGATCCCAGTAAAGGAAGTTTAGCACATTTGTCTTTGGTTCCATTTGTATGACCATTTACAGTTTAGCAGTCCATAGGTAAGAATAAAGAAAATTTTAAAGAAATTAGACCATGTATAATCTAAGCATGAGCACTAAAATGGAAGGGCAAGGTGGGGAAAGAGTCACTCTTAGAAACTGAAATAATAATTGTACAGAAGTTGAAACAAGGGTCAGAATTTATGAAACAAAAGCAAGAATCTATGAAACAAATGGCCAGAGCTTATGAAACAAAAAGATTCTATGAAACAAGAATCAGAACTTATGAAACAAAAGTTACAGTCTATGAAGCAAAAAGACCAAAATTAGAACCTGTGAAAGAAAACTCTTACCTTTGTCCAGTAATCTTGTTGGAAGACCTCCAAATATAAGGGAATAGATGTAACCCCCGAACCTGCTAGATATTTGAAACATTGAGTTCATGTTCCCTAAAGTCAAAGAATGAATTCTAGGAACAATGGAGGTTAAGAGTAGGAAAAATTTATTGAGAAAGAAAGCTTCTGTCTAAGAGAGACAGAAGGGGGACCGGAAAGTGGGTTGTCCCTAGGGTCCATTCTTTTTAATAGGTCCTGGGTCCTTTGGTCCGGGCAGTGGTGCACATACCATGGTTTGTAAATCCTAAATAATAGACTCTTTTCCTGTGAGTGAGGAATGGCCAAGACCCCTCATCCAGCATGATTGAAGAGGTCTGTTTCTAAAGGAGATTGTAAATATACTTGATGTGCAAAATAAAGAACATACAGGGGCGGAGGATGTGGTTCCGCTGCCTGCCTTGCAAGTGCAAGGTCCCAAGTTTGATCCCTGGTACCACCCCCCCCCAAAAAAAAAAACATAGGGAAAAAGAAGCAAGTACATTAAAACTTATTTACTTCTTTAAGTTATTGTTTTCATTCTGTCATCTCCAAAGTCTTTTTTTTTCATCTCCAAAGTCTTAAAACAGCTCCTGCTGATACAGACTCTCCTAACCAAAGACACCCATCCATGAGGTGCTGTCCCGAGGCCTCCACTAACTCACGAAGGGCCAGGTGTACCTGTCACCACGTGGGGTATCACCCTGACTCAGCTGATGCTCAGTTCCTTCCAGCAAGGATGTGGCTTCCGAACTGCTGTGACTCGCTGCCCTCCCCAGCACCCAGCTCAGCCACGTTGACAGAATGTCCTGCCTCACCCTTCACAGGCTTCTAAGCCAAGATCCCACCAGAGAAAATGCTGATCCTAAAAAAGCTGGGGTTTGACAAAGTGCTCTAGTCTAAAAGCCTTACACTACAATTTCCAGATCAAAGTCAGCTCTCACACTGGGTCTTGGGCTACTTCCCAGCTATTTTTAGTGACTTCCTTACTTAAAGTAACGATCATTCCTTTGCCTACAGTGTTTGTATTCTGTGGTGGAATTTGGAAATATGCAGAGTATTCAGAACACTTCACTCAGAAGTGGTCCTTTAAAAATCAAATCAGATCATGGACGCACGAGCTGAGTTCTGTGTACAAGGCTTTGTTCTTTGCAGCCAGGGCTGCTTGTCTATATAGCCAGACCTCAGAATCACGCAATCCAGGCCAAAATTCCAGCTATAGACTCTCCTAAAGGACTCGTGTCCTAGGGTGATCTGATCACTTCAAACATCAATTTTCTTATTTGTAGAATGGAAAGTAATTTAAAAACTACATGTCTGAATAGGTCATGTGGCCGATATGTATACTCCCATTTCTCTGAAAGGCTAAGGCAGGAAGATTGCCAGGTTTGAGACCACCAGCCTGGGCAATTTAGAGAGAAACTATCTCAAAATTTTTAAAAAAATTTTTTTTAAAAAGAGGATAAGCTTAATGCAAAGGCCCTGGGTTCATTCCCTACTGCCACAAAAAGCAAAACCACTGCATTGGATACAGTCGTGTACATGTGTGTGTAACGACAGCTCCTGGTTGTACCTGAAGCTTTGATGGCTGCTTCTTGGATTTCATTTCCTGATGCCTGAGCTGCCAGGCAGCTTGGGCTTTTGGTTTGAACTTGAGCTCTTCATGTTTATGGCATCATCGCAGCTTCCGAGCCTGCAGGGCACCTGCCAGGAATGTGCCAGACATGGGACTTCACAGCTCTGGGGCTCAAGACCTGTGGCTCGCACTGGTCTTGTAAAGAAGAGTGCTTGTAAAGAACCAAACTGACCATTTGCTGAGTGAGGGAATTTGCATTAAAGTCCTAAAGACCTATGCTCTATGTGTTAAGGTAGCACAGACAGTTTTAAATTATTATGCTCAGTGACTCCAAATGCTACTTTATATATATAATATGGTTGTAGGGAGGTGGAGAGAAATGGGCAGCCACTGCAAAGCACCTTGATTCGACTTGAGAGTATGGATCTAAAATTACATACAGAGAGGCTCACACTTTTGTATTTTGATGTGTCATTTCTGGGAATTTATCTGAAGCAGTTAACCCAGAGTGAAAGAGGGCTATGTGCATCAAGATGTTCCTGGCTGCCCTGATTTTAGCAAGAGAATTAGCAGGAAAATTGAGAGTAAGAAGATGGTACGGTAGGTGGCGGGATGCTGCTGAGTGAAATGTTTGCAGCCATTAGAATACCAGCTGTGAAGACTGGGCAACACACAGTAAGGCTCATGAGCAGGTGGAAAGCAACGCCCAGAGTTCTGGGCCTGGTGGGACCCACCCCTCTGAAGACATGCTCCCAGAAGTTGCTTGTGATGAGGAAGGAGTATGACTGATTTTTCTTCTTTTGTGCTTTCCCAACTTCCTGTAATGTTTTGGGTTTTTTTCCCCCATTGAGTTTATTGGTACATTTTAGGTATAAAGTACAGTCACATTCATTATTAGGATCTGTACCTCTACATGACAGGTCTTGGTTCTCATTTCTTCCCCTTGTCCCTGCCCTCCCTTCACCCTTCCTCCCCTCCCCCTTTACAAACACTTCATTTTCATTTTTTTCATTTTCTCATATTTTTTCTTTTCCCTTATTAGCTTTGCCCTACCCTTCCCACTTTCCCTACACCAATGTGAAATAGGAAGAAAGGGGCTAAAGGTGTAATGTTGTTTTATTACCTACATTTATCCATTTTTAAAAGGAGCAAGAGAAGGCATGAGGGAATGAAAGGGTAGGGAAGAGAGATTATTGGGTTAACTTTATTTATTTATTTTCATTTTTTGAGACAGGGTCTCACTATGTAGTTGAGACTGACCTGGAGCTCACTATGTAGCCCAGGCTGGTCTTGAACTCACAGAGATCCTCCTGTCTCAGCCTCCCAAGTGCTGGGATTACAGGCGTGCACCACCATGCCCGGCTGTTGGGTTAACTTTAGGAAGGACTGGAGTGCAGATGACCATTTCTGCAGGCTGGGAAGATGTGGCTTCATGGGGTCCACATGAGGTGGCCTAGGTGGCCTTGCTGCGGTTGTGGGGGAAGGGTCAGAGCAGCTCATAACTGTGGGGCCTCCGGTTGGTTTCAGATGATCCAGGGCCAAACTGAAAATAGCCACTCAGGAGAGACAGAAAGTTCCAATAAATGGAAAGTGGCTTGCGCTACTGCGGGTCTGCACATGGCTGGGAGTTGTGCACCAGATGGCCTGCCTGTCGCAGTGGACCCTAAGGCTTACTTTCTCTTCTCTCCCCTTCCTCATCCCATCACAGAGTCAGATGGAGTTCAGCATTGCCTCCTTGTCCATCCAGGAACCGAGCAATGGCATGGCCACCAGTGAGCCAAGGCCGCTGCCCAAAGCCTCGCAGGGCAGCAGGTCCTCCAGCCTGGACGCCCTGGGTCCAGCCAGGAAGGAAGAGGAGGCATCTTTCTGGAAGATCAATGCTGAGCGGTCCCGGGAGGGGCCTGAGGCTGAGTTCCAGTCGCTGACCCCCAGCCAGATCAAGTCCATGGAGAAGGGGGAGAAGGTGCTGCCTACTTGTTACCGGCAGGATCCCTCCCCAAAGGACCGGGAGGCCAAGGCCCTGCGCCTTCCCAGCACAAGCACCGAGCGTGAGAGACCCCAGCTGGTGCAGGGCCCCACCAGCATGTTACCTGAGGTCACGCCCTGTGAGCCCCCGGGGAAGCCGTTGTCTCCCGATGCCGGGCGAGATGAAGAGGACGAGGACGATGCTCTGTTCCCGGAGCCCAAGCCTGCACAGGTGAGAGGCTAGCGTCAAGGCTGCGGCAGACCAGGGACTTGCTCTGGGGCAGCTGAGGGGTACCCCATAGGATGGACCAGCCGCTGGTGTTGCACTGTCCTCCTCAGAAAACTTGGGGCTGATGGCAGCCCTAACTTGTCAGCAGGTCGTATGGCCACTGCCTTCTTACCCAGTGTGGAGGCAGCAAGGGGGGCTGCAGGAAGATGGTGGTTAGTTGGGGGACTGTTAGTGAGGAAGGGTCCTACAGGTGTTCTGAGGTCCAGGGATTCAGGTGGGACCCCAGAGCTCAGCCAGGGCATAGCCACCAGGACTCGGCTTGTAAGGACATTGTTCCTCTCCAGGCATGGTGGAGTTTAGACAACGGAGCCCTTTCCAGGGTGTGGGGTGGGTGGGTAGCAGAGGAAGGGTCAGGTCCTCTGGGTGAGGTAGGTGGTTGTCGCTGGCTCTGCCCTTATGAGGGGCTTTTGCTGTGGGAGCTGGCTGCATAGGGACCAGGTTCTGACTTGGAGCCAGAGCTCCTGTCAGCAGGGCTATCTGCCTCCTCAGGCACACCTGAGAGGCCTGGCTGTGCCCCCAGTGTGCCCAAGGGCTCCTGGCTCCTTGCAGGCTGGTGAGCACCGGATGGGGGCTCCTCTGTGTCAGTATCACCAGCCCCCTCTGTCCTTGGGACTCCTTGGCCTTCTGTGGTCACTTTTTTTGACATATTAAAAACATATTTAATTTTGGTAAAATACATGACATAAAATTTCTCATTTTAACTAAGTGTGCATTCAGTGGTATTAATGTTGTACAGCTATGATACCTACTGTCTCCAGAGCTGCAACTCTGGGGCTAGCACGTAGGTCAGTGATAGACCTTGTACTTAGCATGTGTGAGGCCCTGGCTTCTATCCACACACAAAGTAAGCAAAGCAAAACCAAATCACAGCCAAAGCACTGTCCTACTAAACACTAACTCCATTCTTCTTCCCCAGCCCCAGGCAGCCACCGTTCTGTTTTCTGTCTAGAATTTGATACTGTAGTCGCTTTGTACAAACCCAGCCGTGTGTACCCACAGCCCTCGAAGTCACTCTCATTTCCCTGGACACAAGAGTGTCAGTGATTTCCCAGGGCCTAGAAATTCATTCTTTACCTTCTTTCATGTTTGGGAAGAAGTGAACTTTCCACCTTTCTTAGATTTTAGTCCCTCAGCTGTACAAAGTTCTTGCCTTTTTTGTTGTGTCCTCATTGTGTGTGCAGGTATGTATGTTTTGCACTAGAAAGAGTGACTCCCTAGCTCGACCTCCCTCGCTTTGGGATGTTGTTCAGAAACAGAAAAGATTCCTAGGAGTGGAGAAACACTCTGTTCTCTGCTCTCCCTGTGAGGAGGTTGCAGGTTGCACAGAAGTGCTGTGAGGGGCTAGACTGGGCAGAGGGCGGCTTGCATCGAATTTGATGTGATTTTTCTGGTCTCCAGCACTGAGGTAAATTGAGATCAGGGCCCCTGAGAGGAAGCCAGTTACTTCATTTGGGTCATTTTAAATGAGATGCTGTTTTTAGATTCTGCATAACTGAAAAAGAAGCTCCTGTCTTACTTCACCACTTTGTTCCTCCACAGGTCACCTCAAGCAACGTCGTCTTGAAGACAGGGTTTGATTTTCTGGACAACTGGTAAACTGTATTAGACCAAAAAAAAAAAAAAAAAGCCAAGAACCCCAAAACACTTTCCACAGTGCTACGCGGATGGAGGATAAGAAGGGCAATGTTGCCTTGTGTATTTTCCTGGTTTCTCTACTCTTTTTCTTAATCCTTTGGAAACTGGTAAATATTGCCAGATTTTTCCCTTTTGGTAAAACCAGATATGTATACTATTTTCACTGATTTGATAACGGAAGTTTTACATCTGGAATTTTTAAGGACTGTTAGGAATTCAGTAAATCTTATAAATAAAACTTCCGTTCCCAGCTCCACCCGTTTCCCCTCCTCGCAGGAAGTTTTCTCACCATGTCACGGAAGTCCGGCTGTGATTCCATCTCATGTTCTGTGCCCCAGTGGGTGACCTCAGTGATGTCCTCAGCCGTGATGACACTGGCTGCTGGGTGTGGCTGCAGGAAGATCTGTTCACTGACACCTGTGGCTTCTCGTGTAAGCCACATCCTGTGCAGTGTGGCACCTGACACCCTTGTGTCACTTGCTGGCAGCATCCCAGTGGCATGTGGCAGACATTGTCTTCGGGTTGCCCCAAATTACTCAAAGTATTGATCACTGTTTAAAAGAGAATTGTGCATTTAGAAGCCTTGTATCAGCTTCTCATTGTTTTATATCTAGATGTAGTGCCATGGGCAGCCATTTCCCTTGGTTTTGTATCTGCTTCCTTCTAGGAGCTCCTGTAACCTGGTGACCCGTACTGGGCACAGCAGGAGCAGGAGCAGGGTGGGTGGAGGCAATGCTGGAGCACAGGTCCTTCTTTTTTTTTGGTACTGGGAATCAAACTCAGGACCTTAACGCTTGCTAGGCAGGCGCGGTGCCACCGAGCTCCATCCCCACCTCTTAGTTCCTTCTGATTTGCTGTTAGAAACTTCTGTGTAGGATGGGGCTGTGACTGTCCTTCATCCCAAGAACTGCTTAGGCCATATCTTGGCAAACCCAGCCTGTCAGCCCTTATGGGTTGCAGAAGTGGAAAGGGCCATCTCTGAGGCCCAGCAGTGTCCCCGGGAGCCCCATGCTGTTTGCTTGATGGATTCCTCCACCATGTGGTCCTCGCTGCCCCTTGCCCAGTGGCCCTGAACTCCAACCAACTGCAAGAGTCCACATCTCCATCACTTCGATCTCCTTACCTGAAGCCTTAGTCCCTATGGGCCCTGCCAATAAACGGGGTTTCAGTACCAAAGGGTCCAGCGTCTTGTTAATGTCTGCACACCTTCAGTACTGGTTTCCAGAATATTTTCTCTGGCTCTGAGGTGAAATACTTGGAAACTCCCCTCCCCCACCTCAAGGAAATTATCTGCCATGCCACAGCTTTGCCAGCATTAGATTTGGTTCCTGCCAGTTGCTTCATGTCCCTAAGTCTCAAGCGGCTCCTCAGGGCTGGAGCTTACCCTCCTCCTCCAGGGACAGACTGCGGCTCAGCAAAGGGAGGTCTTTCCTGAACCGTTTGAGTAAGATTGATACTTGCGAGAGAGGTTTTCTGCATGACGGTGAGAGGAGAAGGCGCATAGCCCCGTGGGGTGCCAGCTACTCTGAGCCACAGCACTGTTCCAGAGCCTTGGGTGCCACCTCCTACACTTCCACCTCCAGGGCAGCCACCAGCCAGGAAGCCCCAAAACAAGGGTTCGTTCTGGGAGTCTGTGCTTCTGGGAGGACAGTACTTTTGCTCAGGGTGCTCTGCCTGCTCTTTGGCAGAAGTTATTTCTTTCCCACTTTCTCACTGATCTGTGTCCCTGTCAGGTTGGCCTCAGGCCTGAGGTATGGATGGGACCATTGCAAGTTGCGGTTTGCTTGAAACCTTTTGGACCCAGCCCTGTAGGGTTTGTTCTCAAAATGGTGATTCTCCATAAGGCCGCAGGCTCTCTAAAGCAATTGTGAAGTCGAAGAGGGGGGAATTCTGGAGAGCCCTGAGTCCTGCTTATTTTCTCTGTTCCCCATCCTGCCTGACCTGCAGATTACCCTTCAACCCAGGGCAAACTCCAAGCAGAGGCGGCTTCTTTCTCATCTTCTGGGGAATCTGTGCCAGTGTCCTGGGAAAATCAGGCTCTACATCTGTCACGCGTCCCCTCTCCCATGCGTCACGATGGAATTTCTAAATCCAGGAGTTTATTTTTTTAAAAAATACACATTTCTCTGCTGATTTTAGACCCTCCCCCACCTGGAGTCAGCGCCTGGGACTCAGCTCAGGATTCGCTGTTGCTCTGGTGATTGCATTTTACAGCAGTTCCCCCAGGACGGAAACAGCTGTCGGCCCTGAGCCCGACCCTGGCTCCGGGGCTGAGTTGGTTGGCCGGGTGGGAGCAGCAGGCCTGTCTCCGGCCAGCTGGCCAGGTGCAGCCTATGTGTCTAGCTGCCTGTGTTTCCCTGCACCTCCCTTTCTTTGATACACGTTTTTTCAAAAATGATACCTTCTTACTGACAACTTGTAACTTGGTTGTATTTTATACTAATAGCCTTTAATAAAGCCATTTAAAAAATACCACATTGTGTCTGTTTTGTGGCCTCTGCTGGGCTCAGGAATGCCGCTAGGATGATGGCATCGGAGTGCTGGAGAGAAGAAAGGGTTCCTGCTGGTTAAAGCCGGCTTGCTGCCACCTCAGGAAGTCATCCCCCTCGCCCACTCTTGACGGGGTCCCTTCCGAAGGTACGAGAGGTCATCCAGGGAGCACCTGCCACTCCAGGAGGGCAGCTCCGTCCTGCAGTGTGTGTCTACACATACTGCATGACCGTGACCCTGGGAAGCTTTTTCACTCAGTAAGTCTGGTCACCACTGACTGTTTTTGTTGTTTTTTTATTTTTTTTTTTTTGTAGGGAAAAAATATAAAATCAAGCCTGGCTAATAAGTCCTATCTCATTAATTAAAGTGTGGGGTGTGGGTGGTAAATCAGTCACTACAGCCACTAGAGATGTGGGAGAGTTTTTAGATGTTGATTATATATATATATATATATATTTTAAAGCTTTTAAAGTTAATGTCCCTTAAAATGTGGCAATTCAGGTTGACAAGCCCCCCCTAACTTCTCACCATGCACAGGGCTGTGCTTCCTTGGGAGAGCGATTGCACGGCCGGCAGCCCATGCTGTAAGGGCCTCCCTGGTGGGCCATTACCTTTATTAAAGTAAAGGGCACAGAGCTATTATTCCCAGCCTCCTAGATTTGGCAGCTTTTATGGTAATCCAATACGTGATAGAAACATTAAAAAAAAAGTGTTTCTCTACCAGAGGGAGCCGTCAACATAGACGCAAAAGGCACTGTTTGTGTTCAGTGCTGTGCAGCCAGCCAGAGGGAAATAACCCAGCGAGGACACCAGAGCTGTCTGTGGGGTGGACATCTTCAGGAGCCTGTCCAGTAATGTATCGATTCCAATCCTCCTCATTTGCCTTCCTCGGGCGTTCTCCAGGCACCCGATGCTGAGGGAGCTCCTAGGAGGAGACTGGTTCTGAGTCCCAACCAAGCGACCCCAGCGAGACTCAAGTTCAAGCTCAAGCAAGAACCCTGGACGTGAGATGAATGTGCCGAAGCCAAGATGGGGTTGTGCAGTCACTCTCCCGGGAGCCCACGACATGCACCGTGAGCACATCCGCCTCTTCTAATCCTGGAGGTGGAATCCAACATTAGGGTGAGGGCAGGGCAGGGATTCTCCTGAGGCCTCTCCGTGGCTTGTGGACAACCCTCTCATCTGTGTCCTAATGTGGTTGTCCGTGGGTCCCTCGCTGGCTTAGGGCACACCCCCGCCGTGCCATTTTAACTAACCTCCACAAGACCGTCTCCAAACAGTCATGCTCTGAAGTTCTGCGACTCAGAACTTCAACATCCAGCTTGAGGGTCGTTTACATAGTTCAACCCCTAATAGGCATTGGTACGAACTAAAAACATCAAATGCCAGCCATTAATGGCAATAAAAAGTAAATTATCCGAGAGTCAATTTAAGCAAATATACAAAGAATTCTTGTGTAAGTCAGTCTTTAAAGTATAAAAATTAGAAGACCCGAGAATCCTGGAGTGGATAACTTGGTATCAAAATCTTAATTCTCCCTGAAATCACTTTATGAAGCTAGTACATTAATAAAAATTCCAGTTGGGCATTTTGAGGAATTTAATAAATGTACTCAACTGTGATCAGAGACACAGTTCATTAAATGAAGCAGATGAGGGGCTGGGTGTGGTACCTGGTCTGTAAACTGAGCACTCTAGGAGGATGAGGCAGGAGAACTGAAAGCTAGAGCCCAGTCTGGGAAACTCAACAACACAAACCCTGTCTCAAAGGAAAAAGAAAAAAAGAGGGGATGAGGATGTAGCTCAGAGAGAAGGTCTTGGGTTTGATCCCTAGTATCACCCTGCCACACCCACACTTCCCCCGACATCAAAGCCTCAGAAGGGGAGGGGGCTGTGCGATCAGCTGGAGGGACGCGTTCCAGGGCTGTAGGACGGATGACCTAGTGAGTGCAGGACAGACAGACCAGGGAAATGCGATGAGGCCAAGGACAAGCTCATGCCGGGATGGGGATGCAAGTCACCATCGAGATGGGGAACGATTCCTTAGTGGGTGGGCTCAGTGTGCGGGGCGGGGGGATGTAAACATGGACTCCTCCCTCCCGCTGCACAGAAGAGGGTCTGTATGGTTTAAAGATGAACGATAATGGCGAAAGTGTGAAGCCAGCAGAGGCAAGACCTGGCGAAGAAGGGCTTCCATGAAAGTCCACAGCAAAGCAGGATGTTGGATCTGGTGATGTAAACACACAGGACCCTTGTCCGTGAGGCACTCTGTAAGGGAGTTGGTGGGCTGAAGGGACAGGGGAACGTGGTTGTCACCTCTGTGAAGGACGGATATCACGGACACAGAGGGCACTTCTGCAAATTAACAAAAAGGGCCGGCAACCTCAGGAAATCCTGAAAACTGAAGCTTATGAAAAGGGGCCAAAAATAATGGTAATCAGAGAAAGGGCCAGAGAGCTAGATGAGGCCAAGTGTCGACAGAAATGGGACACAGCAGTGGCTTGTCCCTCCCTGGGGGTATTCGGCAGTGTTGGGGGACATTTCTGGTTGCTGCTGGGGGCAGGGGCGGCTGCTGCCATCCGGCATCTGGCAGCGGATCAGACCCCTTTGGAGAATGCCAATTTGATCCCTTTTTCCACACGAGGCTTCACAGCAGACTTGGTAAAGATTTCATGGAAAAAATAGACTGATGAGCCCTGGGCAGCGAAAGTGCTGGGGTTGCTTCATCTGCTCTGTTTCTGCCTAGCAGCAGCCCCAGGCCTGGAGCAACCTTGCAGAAGTAGCCAGCTGTCCCCAAGAGCAGCCACTGGCCCCAGGTGGCCACTGAGTGCTTGGGGTGGGGCCAGGACTAATGGAAATGTGCCCTAATCGTGAGATGTACTCTGGATTTTGAAGACTTCAT